ACGACTTTGATATTATTACCTCCATATCTCAAAACTATCATCAAGCATCAAACTTCTCTTAGTATTCAACACACTCATAAGAGAATTTTATTATTCTTGAATACCTAGCATATTAGGATTTTAAGTAAATTACCATGCTATTTAAGACTCTCAAAATAATCTAAGTGAAGCATGAGAGTTCATCTATTTCTTCAAAATAAAACTACCACCATGCTCTAAAAGGTATAAGTGAAGATCAATGAGTAGTCGAATAATTATGTAACTATGTGAAGACTCTCTAACATTTAATAATTTCAGATCTTGGTATTCTATTCAAACAGCAAGCAAAGCAAAATAAAATTACATTCTAAGAATAGCAAACATCATGTGAAGAAGGAAAAACTTAGGATCAACCGAAACTAACCGATAGTTGTTGAAGAAGAAAGGTGGGATGCCAACCGGGGCATCCCCAAGCTTAGACGCTTGAGACTTTTTGAAATATTATCTCGGGATGCCTTGGGCATCCCCAAGCTTGAGCTTTTGTTTCTCCTTAATTCCTCTCATATCACGGTCTCCCTAAAACTCAAAAACTTCATCCACACAAAACTCAACAAGGACTCGTGAGATAAGTTGGTATAAACCATTGCAAAAACCTTATCATACTCTACTGTAGAAAATCACTAAAATTATTATTGAACATTGCATACTAAATGCCTCTGCATATTTAATAGTCCTATCCTCAAATAGAATCATTAAAGAAGCAAACATATGCAAACAATGCAAACATAACATCAATCTTCCTAAACAGGACAGTCTGTAAAGAATGCAGCAACATCCATACTTCCCTAGCTCCAAAAATTATAAAAGAAAATTCCCACTATAGTAAATTTATCAGAGCTTAATATGCAAAAGGTTTCAATATTTTTATCACATTCTGACTTTTCTAGGGACTTATTGCAACAGCAGTAAACTTTCTGTTTTCAAACAGCAACATGTATACTTGTAACATAGGCATAGTAAAGGCTATCAATGCCACTTTTATTGAAATAAAAGATGCAAAACATTATTCTAAATAACAGAAAGCAAATCCTAACAAAATAAATTGACACTCCAAGCAAAACACATCTCATGTGGCGAATAAAAATATAGCTCCAAGTAAAGTTACCGATGAACGAAGACGAAAGAGGGGATGCCTTTCGGGGCATCCCCAAGCTTAGGCTCTTGGCTATCCTTGAATATTACCTTGGGGTGCCTTGTGCATCCCAAGCTTAGGCACTTTCCACTCCTTATTCCATAGTCCATCGAATCCTTACCCAAAACTTGAAAACTTCACAACACAAAACTTAACAGAAAACTCGTAAGCTCCGTTAGTACAAGAAAGTAAATCACCACTTCAAGGTACTGTAATGAACTCATTCTTTATTTATATTGGTATTAAACCTACTGTATTCCAACTTATATATGGTTTATAAACTCTTTTACTAGTCATAGATTCATCAAAATAAGTAAACAACACATAGAAAACAAAATCTGTCAAAAACAGAACAGTCTGTAGTAATCTGGATCAAACGTATACTTCTGGAACTCATAAAATTCTGAAATAAATTGCTGGACCTAAGGAATTTATCTATTAATCATCTTCAAAAAGAATTAACTAAATAACACTCTCCAAATAAAAATGGCAGCAATTCTCGTGAGCGCTAAAGTTTCTGTTTTTGACAACATGATCAACAAGACTTTCCCCAAGTCTTCCCAAAGGTTCTACTTGGCACAAACACTAATTAAAAGTATAAAACCACATCTAAACAGAGGCTAAATGAATTATTTATTACTAAACATGAACAAAAAGCAAGGAACAAAAATAAAGTTGGGTTGCCTCCCAACAAGCGCTATCGTTTAATGCCCCTAGCTAGGCATGATGATTTCAATGATGCTCACATAAAGGATAAGAATTGAAACATAAAGAGAGCATCATGAAGAATATAAATAGCACATTTAAGTCTAACCCACTTCCTATGCATAGAGAATTTGTGAGCAAACAACTTACGGAAACAATAATAAACTAGCATAGGAGGGCAAAACAAGCATAACTTTAAAACTTTAAGCACATAGAGAGGAAACTTGATATTATTGCAATTCCTACAAGCATATGTCCCTCCCTCATAATAATTTTCAGTAGCATCATGAATTAATTCAACAATATAACTATCACATAAAGCACTATTTTCATGATGCACAAGCATAGAATTTTTATTACTGTCCACATAAGCAAATTTCTTCTCATGAATAGTAGTGGGAGCAAACTCAACAAAATAACTATCATGTGAGGCATAATCCAATTGAAAACTAAAATCATGATGACAAGTTTCATGGATATCATTATTCTTTATAGCATACAAGTCATCACAATAATCATCATAGATAGCAACTTTGTTCTCATAATCAATTGAAACCTCTTCCGGAATAGTGGATTCATCACAAAATAAAGTCATGACCTCTCCAAAACCACTTTCATCAACATAATCATCATAAATAGGAGGCATGCTATCATCATAATAAATTTGCTCATCAAAACTTGGGGGACAAAAAATATCATCTTCATCAAACGTAGCTTTCCCAAGCTTGTGGCTTTGCATATCATTAGCATCATACATATTCAAGGAATTTATACTAACAATATTGCAATTATGCTCATCATTCAAATATTTAGTGCCAAACATTTTATAGATTTCTTCTTCTAGCACTTGAGCACAATTATCCTTTCCATCATACTCACAAAAGATATTAAAAAGATGAAGCGTATGAGACAAACTTAATTCCATTTTTTGATTTTTTTTATAAACTAAACTAGTGATAAAACAAGAAACTAAAAGACTCGATTGCAAGATCTAAAGATATACCTTCAAGCACTCACCTCCCCGACAACGGCGCCAGAAAAGAGCTTGATGTCTACTACACAACCTTTCTTCTTGTAGACGTTGTTGGGCCTCCAAGTGCAGAGGTTTGTAGGACAGTAGCAAATTTCCCTCAAGTGGATGACCTAAGGTTTATCAATCCGTAGGAGGCATAGGATGAAGATGGTCTCTCTCAAGCAACCCTGCAACCAAATAACAAAGAGTCTCTTGTGTCCCCAACACACCCAATACAATGGTAAATTGTATAGGTGCACTAGTTCGCGCGAAGAGATGATGATACAAGTGCAATATGGATAGTAGATAATAGTTTTTGTAATCTAAAAATATAAAAATAGCAAGGTAACTAATGATAAAAGTGAGCGTAAACGGTATTGAAATGCGTGGAAATAAGGCCTAGGGTTCATACTTTCACTAGTGTAAGTCCTCTCAACAATAATAACATAATTGGATCACATAACTATCCCTCAACATGCAACAAAGAGTCACTCCAAAGTCACTAATAGCGGAGAACAAACGAAGAGATCATGGTAGGGTACGAAACCACCTCAAAGTTATTCTTTCCAATCAATCCGTTGGGCTATTCCTATAAGTGTCACAAACAGCCCTAGAGTTCGTACTAGAATAACACCTTAAGATACAAATCAACCAAAACCCTAATGTCACCTAGATACTCCAATGTCACCTCAAGTATCCGTGGGCATGATTATACGATATGCATCACACAATCTCAGATTCATCTATTCAACCAACACAAAGGACCTCAAAGAGTGCCCCAAAGTTCCTACCAGAGAATCACGATGAAAACGTGTGCCAACCCCTATGCATAGGTTCATGGGAAGAACCCGCAAGTTGATCGCCAAAACATACATCAAGTGAATCACGTGGTATCCCATTGTCATCACAGATACGCACGGCAAGACATACATCAAGTGTTCTCAAATCTTTAAAGACTCAATCCGATAAGATAACTTCAAAGGGGAAACTTAATTCATTACAAGAGAGTAGAGGGGGGAAGAAACATCATAGGATCCAAATATAATAGCAAAGCTCGCAATACATCAAGATCGTATCACCTCAAGAACACGAGAGAGAGAGAGAGATCAAACACATAGCTACTGGTACATACCCTGAGCCCCGAGGGAGAACTACTCCCTCCTAGTCATGGAGAGCACCGGGATGATGAAGATGGCCACCAGAGAAGGATTGCCCCCTCCGGCAGGGTGCCGGGACGGGTCTAGATTGGTTTTCGGTGGCTACGGAGGCTTCTGGCGGCGGAACTCCCGATCTAATCTCCGTTCTGGAAGTTTTACGATACATAGGTATATATGGGTGCAAGGGGTACGTCGGTGGAGCTTCGGGGGCCCCACGAGGCAGGGGGCGCGCCCCCCACCCTCGTGGCCAGCTTCCGTATCTTCTGACGTAGAGTCCAAGTCTATCTGGTGGCTTTCCTTCCAAAAAATAACTTCTCCAGTTGATTTCGTTCCGTTTCGACTCCGTTTGATATTCCTTTTCTTCGAAACACTGAAATAGGCAAAAAACAACAAATCTGGGCTGGGCCTCCGGTTAATAGGTTAGTTCTGAAAGTAATATAAAAGTGGATAATAAAGCCCAATATTTCCCAAAACAGTAGATTATATAGCATGGAGCAATCAAAAATTATAGATACGTTGGAGACGTATCAAGCTGGTAGAAGATGGCCACGACTGGAGGCGACACGAGGCAGGGGCGCGACAGCGGGGTGAGCGAAGGGATAGGCGGCAGCAGATGGGGCGGGCGCAGCCAGCGAGAGTGTGGCGCGCGACCAGGGTGTGTGTCGCGCGGGGCATAGTGGTGCGGTGGTTGCGGCAAGCGCGACGGCAGCGGCGGGTGCGACCGACGCGGTGTAGCACGGGCGTGGGTATGGAGAGGGAGTGGCCCCGCGGGCGCGGAAGAAGAGCGGCAGGCTCGGGCATGGGCGTGCATAGGAGTGGGCATGTGCCACGGGGTCAATCCAAGGAGCTCGGTGGCTACCCTACAATGGCCATGGCGGACGGCGGTTCTCGGCCACGACGAAATACCTAACGAGAGCAAACGAGAGGGGAAACAGGGGAAAGGCAAGAGGAGATCATGGCGGTGTCAAATGGCACCCTAGGGGAAGACATGGGAGCTCGGGACGGCGCGGATCGAACGACAATGTCGCAGTGGCCCAAGGTTGAGGAAGACGGCAACGGCGTCGATGCGGGGGTGCTGGACTTTATCTCGTTGGCGCAGACAAAGTAGCGAAGGTGTTCGGAGCTCCTCGACAAGCTCCTAGCCCGCAGGGAGGGCAGTGGCCATGTGGACGGGGTCGGTCATGGTGGCAGTGGCGTCTGACTTCGTCCAGATCGACGGGATCGAGCGAGCGAGGAGGAGAAGTGGATTTGGGAGGGGCGTCGAGGAGGAGAGAGGCCATGGGGGCAGGGAAGGAAAGGCGTCACCCTTATCCATTCCCTTTCGATGCCAGCGAGGTGGTCGGGCGGGAGCCCGGCTCTGTAGCGACGCGGCTCGGGTAACAGGAGAAGACGACCGCGTGGGGATTGGACCGCTGAGCCGGTTCGATGACAAGGCCCCGGGGGCAGGGCGAATCCCCTTTTACATTGTCCTTTTGGTTTTTCAATGTATTCTAATATGTTTCTCTTTTTTAACACCGTTTTCTATTTATTCTTATCAATTAAATGATCTCTACTCATAATGTCTCAGTTGGTAGTCTTCGTTCCGGATTTATTTTTGTCCCACCTCCGAGTGAGAGAGAGGGGGAGAGAGAGTGAGGAAGAGGGAGGAAGAGGATATGTGTGTGAGAATTTGATGGTAAAAAAGATCGTCAATGTCACTTAATATGTATGAAAATATTAAATGTAATATTAACATAATTGATATTGAACTTTTAAAGTTAATGTGGCCCCGTTGCAACGCACGGGCATTCTTCTAGTATATTTAAAAGAATCAGTCCACATGTCTACGTATGGGCAAAACTAGTAATGTCAACATGTCTTTTGCCTCGCGGTCCCTCCCACATGTCTACGTGTGGGTAAAATAGATAACGCCCAAACGACCGGCTTCCTACCTCACAGTCCCGCCTATCTCACGTGATAATCACCACACGTCCCTGCAGTTGCTATGGTCCGAACCCTTTTTCATATTCGTTTAACTGCAATTGCCATGTTACTGAACTACAGTTGTCATGTTTGACAACTGCAGTTGCCATGGTTGCTCAACTGCAGTTGCCATCTCAGGTCAAGTGTCAGATGTCATTTTTGGACAACTACAGTTGTTGTCATGTATGGTCTGATCTACTATAGTTGCCATGATTTAAAACCTTAGGAGTTGCCACCTACTATATAGCACTACAAAAAGACATGGCAAAATAATCTGTTCGGATAAAGACAGATTTATCATATGCTTACAAGCACACTAGGGCAGTTACCATGTACCCTACAAAACACACGGCAACTGACAGCTTTGTGTGTGGAAGTGAAGACGGGCGTGTGGGCGAACTGATAAATGCCCACACATCAGCCCCTCTGCGTGCGTGGAAATTGGCATTTGGACGAACTCCTAAACGCCCACACACCAGCCCCTCCGCATGGTAAAGCGAACGTGAACGCGACTGGATGAACGCCATCACACCAGTCTAGTCCTACATGGCATAAAAAGATCTGACAAAACATGTCAAGATTTGTGCAAAAACAAATGGGCGAGGTACAAACGCCCACACATGTGGGCATTATCTTTTTCGGTTTTTTTAAGCGATTGAGGATTTGGTCCTGCCTGCCTAGACTGCTACTTCATGGGCCAGGCCTAATTTGGATTGTTTGCACATTAGCCCAATAGAGAGGGTGAACGACGACTCTACCAGGCCCATTATTCATTCAAAAGCCCAGAACCCCCCCAGAAACTCTCTGACCTGCATCGGACGGCTAGGAGAGCTCGCGTCACGATCCACGGGCTCACCGGGACTTGCACGCTGCCTTTATAATCCGCTCTCGCCGCCGAACCCTAGCTCCTCTTGCCTTTCTGCCCGCCCACCCGTCTCCTCGCCTCGCCGTCTCGCCCCACGCCACCGCCGCAGCCGCTGCAAAGATGGTACGTGGATCGGCCGCTTTGGTTCTGTGCTGCTCAGGAAAGGTTTTTCAGCGACGCGTGTTTTGACGAGGTTCGTTGTTTGTGCGTTGCGTGCAGCCGTTCAAGAGGTTCGTCGAGATCGGGCGGGTGGCCCTGGTGAACTACGGCAAGGACTACGGCCGCCTCGTCGTCATCGTTGACGTTGTCGACCAGAACCGGGTGAGTGCCGAGTCTTGCTGGTTGGAATTCCGAAGCACTCATGTGGGGTAGTAGATCTAGAGTTCTATAGCCATGTTCTGTTTGTTGGTAAGAAACCTTGTGCTTTCGGTTGTTCTGCGGAAGAAATGTATAAATCTGTTTAGTTTTATTAGCTAGCTTCGGTTTTGAAATGTTGTTATTAGCTAGCTTCTGATGAAACACCAAATAGAATTCTATGAGTGGCATGTCCTAGAAGTTGTTCAGTTGGTTTACATAGGATTAGCTGTAGCTTCTGCGCTCAGTGCACTTACTGGGGTGATGTATAGAACAATACCTGGGGTTATCTGACAGTTCTGTTTACCGAGATAATGGTTGTAAAATGCACTGCTTGCAAGATCAATGTGTTTATTTATGTTTGCCTCTAAAAAAGTTCTCTACATATGTTTGTTACTGGTTATCATGTGCTCTTGCAAGCAGAGTTTAGCAGTCTGCTCTAGTTCTGGTTAGTTATGTTGTGGCTCTTTTAGTATTGAATTTGACATTACTCTGGTGCATTCAGGCACTTGTGGATGCTCCCGATATGGTCAGGTGCCAGATGAACTTCAAGCGTCTTTCGCTGACCGACATCAAGATTGACATCAAGCGTATCCCTAAGAAGGCCACTTTGATCAAGGCCATGGAGGAAGCTGGTAATGGTCAATCTTGTGGTGCCCACACCTGCAACATTTGGAATTTGTTCTGTTGATGCTTATTTGAGTTTGTGGTGCCATTTTGTAGATGTGAAAACCAAATGGGAGAACAGCTCATGGGGTAAGAAGCTTGTTGTCCAGAAGAGAAGAGCATCGCTGAATGACTTTGACAGGTTCAAGGTCATGTTGGCTAAGATTAAGGTGAGGCATTTCACTCACTACCATCTGGTTTATTGGTTTAGGGCATTGCTTTTTTCACCTGCTTACCCTGTCATTTTTCATATGAACAGAGGGGTGGTGCTATCAGGCAAGAGCTTGCCAAGCTCAAGAAGGAGGTTGCTGCTTAGAATATCTTAGTGGATGACATGTTGAGTTTTTTGTTCCAAGTTGGATCTGCTCTATGTTCCAGTGTTCTTGAAGCCAGAATTAGTACAACTGTTTTCAGCGAACTATTTCATATTTTGTCATGGTTGTTATTGAATACCCAAGCTAGTTTGCTACAGATGTGCCTCTTGCCTTCGTTCATATGTGATATGTTGCCCGGTTCTCTGCTTTTACTTTTGACTTGTGCTCTTGTGGTTATTTTTTAAGATTTCAGTAGGGTAAGCATGTCTTTTGAATCTAAGTGGGAAATGTTAATTAAATAAGATCAAAATAAAGTGCAGTGGTACCTTTATTCTATTCCCGATCGATATCATTGTTGGTCAGTTGCTCTGTCTCGTGCCGATTGGTTTGATGCCCTAGACGGCTAAAATATCAAAACAGCACAATAAACAGTTTTGTACATAGAATATTTGAACTTGTATTTTGTTTTAGAGAAAAGGCGCAACCTGAGCCTGATTCTGACTGCTGCCGCTCACGGTTGCTGACCTCTTTGCCTTGCCAACCCTTTGCCCACTATTTAAACCCTTCATGAGCTCCAAAGATTTGTCACCACACATGCCATGGCCTTGATGTGCTCCAAAGATCTGGGGGACAACCTCTTTTGAACAGAAGGGAAGACCGCCGCCATTGTTGCCGGCTCACAGGAGGCAGGTGCTGTGGAGGCTCCAATGGCAGAGGCGGCCGACGACTGAGCCGGTGCCTTCACCGGCTTATGCCGGCATCACCATGTGTAAGGCCCATGCTCACTACACCAACATGGTGTTGGAGGAGCGGGAGGCCGTGTTCCAGCAGGCGCATGCCCGTATAGGCCTATAATCTTATGCCGACATCACCATGGGTAAGGCCCATGCTCACTACACCAACATGGTGTTGGAGGAGCGGGAGGCCGTGTTCCAGCAGGCGCATGCCCGTACAGGCCTATAATCTTATGCCGGCATCACCATGGGTAAGGCCCATGCTCACTACACCAACATGGTGTTGGAGGAGCGGGAGGCCGTGTTTCAGCAGGCGCATGCCTGTACAGGCCTATAATCTCCGCCTTGACGAGCACCGGTGCGCGGAGGAGCTACTCGTCGTCGGCGCGGCCATCACGTCGGATGTGGACGTTGGCGAGCAAGAGGCTCTGCTGGACTCCTACCGCTTCGCTTGTGACATCCATCGCGACTGCTGGCTCTAGCGCCAGTATCATGCGGATTTAGAGGCCGCCTACAAGAAGATCGATGAGGCGGCGGATGAAGTTTACGGGCCCGATGACGGTAGTGAAGAGGCCGGTGGCTTTGCGGCCACGACATGACACAACGACGTCGACGCGTTCGTCAGCGCCGCTGGCAGCGAGGCAGAGTAGAGCATGGGAAGGAGCCGACGCTTGTGTCAAGGCCACCACTCTTGCTCTCTTGCTGAAGCTAAGCCTTGTGGCCTCATCTTTGTCGGCTGATTAGCCACTTGTAGGTTGCAGAGGCGGAGCTGGAGCTTCACTTCCCGAGGCTCATAACCGGATGGTCATGGGGAATGGGTGTCGGTGGTAATTTAGACCAGGTTAGAGTACGATTTAGTTTTAAGAAGTCTAGAATGTAATGAATTTCATTTGATTTGTATGGAAATCATCTATTTTCCATGAATTTCATCTTGTTTGTTTAGCCGATTTGAAATGTATGCGGATACCATTGGATGGTCGGCTCTCACATCCATGTTAGAGGACTAGTCCCCCCTGTCCGCAGATGGATGTGGTAATAGTTTAAAGAAACATGCACACTGAGGCCTCGCCATAGACTATGACATACACAAGGAAAGCTAAGAGCATTTCCAGCCGTTGAGCCTCCCCAGGAGGCATTTTTTTCGCCGCTTGGGGGGCTGCCGGCGAAAAATTTGGCATGGGGTGAAATTTGTTCCACTCGTGGCGCCCCCCATGTAGCTGGGGCCGAGGTCGGTGAGCACGACGAACGCTGAAGGGACGACGCGCTCGGCCACTCCGTCTGCTACGCCTCCGCCGCTGCCTACTCCTCCTCCTTCCGCCATGGCATCTCCGGCGCCGGCCCGTCCGCCACGCCGGCCAGCGGGAGCGCGAGCAGGCGGAGGTGGGCGCTGGGCTTCCTCGGCAGCGTCGAAGGCGCTCGCGGGGACGGTGCTTCTGCTCCTGCTTGGGGACGCCGACCAGTGGTGAGCGCGCGCGCGGCTCGGTGGCCGGCCACGACGCGGTCAATGCGATGAGCAGAGCGACGAGGGAAGCACGCGGACGCACATGGGGCGAGCGGCTAGAGCGGGCGGGATACGCCGACGCGAGGCAACTGCAGGCCATGGCCGGAGAGCGAGTTGCGGGCCACGACATGTGCGGGCCGCATCGGGTGCGGTGCAGAGGAGTGGCGCGGGGGCAGGCGTGACGGCCGGAGACGAGGCCATGGTGCGGGGAGGCGGCGGACGCCAACGAAGGTAGCAGGACGCCCTTTCCAACCTTGGCGAGCAGGACGTGTTGGCGCGCGCGAGCTCTGCCCCGGCCACGCACAGGAGGGCGCGGGCGAGCTCCGCCTCGGCCAACGCAGAAAAGCGCTGGCGAGCTCCTCCCCGACCATGCGCAGCTCCGCCCCGGACAGGAGGGTGCGGGCGAGCTCCGGCCACGGCGCCTCCTCGTGCAGCTCAGAGTGCATGCGGCTCGGTGTGTGTGCGTGGGGGCAGAAGGAAAGAGAAAAGAGAGGAGAGAGAGGGGGATGGGTGGCTGACGTGGGCCAATCGCGTCGCTTAAACAAAGCGCCGGTCCCCCCAGCTGCCCCCCGATAGCCTGGGTGTGGGATGGGCTCGCCGGCTTTGTTTTTTGCGAAAACCGGTGAAAAGTGAGGTCGTGGGGGCGTGGCTGGGACGATTTTTGTTTGCCGGCGCTGAAAAAAAATGCTCTTGGGGGGCTTCTTGGGGGGCCGGCTGGAGATGCTCTAAGGCGTTGAAGGACCTGAAACCAAATGTCTTCACGTGACCTCCAAGTTTGGGCCAAATTCCGATGAAGCACCAACGCCGCCATTGGCTCAGCGACAAGATAGAACCAAAGAGGGGACGATGATCCCCTCTTGCCCAGAATCGAGGGTGGCAACCCACCAGCGGCACCGACAGGGACTCTCCACTCTTGCAGCCATGAGACTTGTCAGAACTGAATCCGAGCCGCCATTCGCCACCACCAAAAACATCACCCTCCGCAACTGTTATCTCGGACGATGCCTCTAAGGAGTAACACGACTCCACAACATCGTCGCCACCCAAATAGGGGACCAAGTTTTTACCACTAAGCAGCGGCATGTTGAGGGGGTGGGGAACCTCATTGAAGCCTCCAAGGAGTGGATTAGTGTCAAAGCCCATGACGCCCCCGTTTATAACCGTGCACTAATCATACACACATCATGCACGATCACGAACGGTGACTCACGTCAATATCACAACACAATCTCTGCGACACAGAAGATAAACATAAAACAACATATTACAAGCCCGGGTCACGAGGACCCATAATACATAAATCATCAAAGAAAATATTGTATGAGTACATAAATAGTTAGAGAAGTTTTGCCTTACGAAGGCTGGGCAAAACAACGACACTATGATCGAAAGGCGAGGCCTTCTGCTTGGGACCTCCGGACTACTCTTGGTCGTCGGTCTCCACATAGTACGCTCCGCTGGGGTAACCTGCATCCACATTTCTACCAACTGTTGCAGCAACCGGGTTAAATGAAAAGGGTAGCAAAGCAACCGTGGGTACTCATCCGAAGTACTCGCAAGACTTACATCAGATCTACACTAGATATGCATCGGTATCAAAGGAATGGGGTAGTATCTATGGACTAAACTGCAAAAATATCAACATAAGGGGGATAAGCTCATCATATCGAAGACTACATCTTCTTGCAACCATCATCTTGCAGCAATAGAAGAGAGGAGCATTATATGATATCATCTTGTACATATGTAGCAATAAACCTGCCCAGAGATCCTCTCCTCGTCTCCCTGGGGAAAGCGATCTCCGGGGGTATCTGTCTCTTATCTGGCTATGTTTTAAAAAGTATCCGGTTTTAGTTGTAAAAGTGGGATACAACTCCAAGTCATCCTTTACCATGGACACGGCTATTCGAATAGATTAGTTCCCTATAGGGGTGCACCACGTTACCCGATACACTTCATTACCTCTAACCAGACACACTTTTCTAGGTAATGCCCAGGCTTGGATAATCAACACGTTGTAGACCAACCTAGGCTCCCCAGAGAGGTCAACACGTCAATCTAAATCCTAAGTGCAAAGAGGTCATGGGCCCATCACCCTAAGCACTCCTGCATGTTGCGTGACTAGCCGAGGCCCAGGGGCGCCTTTGTGTACACAAGCAGGCCTAACCAGCCCACCCCAATAACCAGCCCGCATCTCTGAACTATAACATCTGGAAAGCTTTTAGAAGGAATGTACGATGCCGAGGTCCCCATATACCATTATCCCGCGCGGCGGTTAGTGCGTATATGCCAATGGCAGTCTCAGATCAAATATCCAACCTCGTTAAGCATGTTATTATGAAATATCCACGAACACCAACCTGGGACCAAGCCCACCTCTCGCCTAGGTGGTTTCTACCTACCCTGTTGTTCCACCAACAGTGAATCATTCACGGGTACCCTTGGGGCCGACCCGTCTTTAACATTTGGGGTTGTCGGGACTCAGTTCCATAACATCAAGGTGAAAACCCGAGGAATCACCCTCGATAGATTCACACTTGATATACTGCATGACAGAGACATCGTCGAGAGTGGTATATGAGGAATCACCTTTCATAAGGTCACACTAGATGTGTTGCGCTGCAAAGTCATCATTGGGAGTGAACTACGAGGAATCACCCTTAGTAAGTTCACCCTTAGTGCGACTCTACAGAGTCAAATAATTGTAGGGCCTAAAGGGGTGTTCAGGTCTCTGTACAACGATCCATCATCTCGGATAACCCAGATA